AAAGGAGCCTATGTGTCTAAATACAGACCACCAATACTGAACTCTGATCATAGTGCTGTGAATATGATACCAGTGTATAAGACCAAACTCAAGGGAAGTCAACCAGAAAAGAAAGTAATAAGGACATGGACAAATGAAAGTAGGGAACCGTTGAAAGCCTGTTTTGATTGGACAGATTGGGACATTTTTCAGGAAGGTTCACCAGATGAAATAACTACTGTTACCAAAGACTATATTAACTTCTGTGTTCCCACTAAAGAAATACAAATCTATCCAAGTAATAAATCATATGTGACTAAGGACATTACAAAAAGTTATAAAAACCAGGAAAATAGCTTTCAAAAACAAAGACTACGGAGCACTTGAACAGACAGAGAGAGAACTGAAAGTCAAATTGAGGGAATCAAAACACACAGAGAGCTTTTGGGAAATGATTTTAAAGCCTAAGACCCCAAAAAAGTGTGGGACACCAAGAGAACCATGACAGGAATGACCTCTTCAGCTAAACCTATTGTGACAGACAAGACATACTTGATCCATACCAATTTGCCTATAAGCAAGGGGGTGGTACTGTTGCTGCTCTGGTTCACATCATCACTAAACATTTAGATAAACGCCACACCTATGCAAGAGCCCTCTTCCTAGACTTCTCAGCAGCAACACAATACAAGCAGACATCTTGGCGTCAAAAATGGAAGTAAATCCATACCTGATTTAGTGGTATGCCGCTTTCCTCACCAGTAGAGAGCAACTTGACCAAACCCTGTCATCTGCCATCACAACCAATGTAGGGGCCCCCCAGGGCTGCGGGAGTTCAGCTGTGCTCTTAGCTTCTTTTAGCTTCTTTTGATGACTTTACTGAACTGCTGTCTATAGTGTGTTTTGACTTTGACCGTCTAGTCATTGTTGGTGATTTTAACATCCATGTTGACAACCCCCAGGACAGAGGGGCTAAAGAACTGTTTTGTGTTCTTGATAGCTATGGACTGACTCAGCATGTGACGGAGCCCACGCACAATAAGGGGCACACTCTGGACTTAATGATCTCAAAGGGTCTGAATATCTCTGAGGTTGTGGTGACTGATGTTGCGCTCTCTGATCATTCCTTTGAGAGCTCTATTTCTGTTCACACAAATGTTCAGAAAGAGGTAACCACAAAGCGATATTTAACTGACAACACTTGGGAAATGTTTACTCAGAATGTTTCTTCCACACTTGCCCCTGCTAACATCTCAGTAAATGAGCTAGTAGATTATTTTAATTCAAAAATAACTAAATTAAAGGAAGTGACTGGCAAGAAAATATCTCCATGGAGAAAGGCCATGACCGTGAGAACAGCAAAAAGAGAGTGTCGAAAAGCTGAACGTAGGTGGAGACAAACACAGGGTTCTTACACCTTTTCCAAAGTCAAATTCAAGCACTTTTCAAGCATTTTCAAGGTGCATTTTCCAGCTTTTCAAGCAGCTTACAGCTGTTGCAAATTACATATTTATATACACATACTCAAATGATTATTTCCCTACCTCACATTAAATCAGATGTTCTTTATGCTATAAACAACCAAATGTGTGTTTCGTGATAGCCTTCTACACGAGGATGAAAAATTAAAGAAAACTAAGTTTAATATTTCAAAATGAGTGATCTGTACGTAGACTGGGCCTCCCAGATAACCTGGCTGAGCCAATATAAAACAATCAGCCAAATAACTTTTCAATACATTATTGATTACTATTCTTTTAGGTACTTTTAGGTTGGCAGTGAACATAAGTCAGAGGTACATGGTGTACTTTTCCTCCACTACATGTATTTAATACCTTTAGTTACTTCACAGATGTGGATGAATGATGTGAAATCTAATCAAGTGTTGAATCAGACTTTAGTTCCACCTGGAGTAAATCCACCAGCTACCCTGCAGTATACAAAGTCATTCAGACTAGCTGCACCTTCACCAGCTTTGAGAACACTTTCATGATCAATCATTATAAAACATATCATAGATATTATTCTGAAATGGACCAATCTGCACAACGACTACTTTTACTGTCGCTACTTTCACTATATTTTGATGAGAATACTTTTCCACTTTCACTTGAGGAACATTTTGAATGCAGGACTTTTACTGTAACAGAGTATTCCTACACTCTGGTACTTCTACTTTTACTCAAGTACAAGATCCGAGTACTTGTACTTTTACTCAAGTACAATACCTGAGTACTTATTCCACCTCTGGTAGCGTATTAGTCTGAATTGTAGCCACAAAATCACGCAGAGCTGCATACAAATAGACTCACAATGGTAACAAGTGGAAAATAATATTTACAAATGTGAACAATGATTTGGAGGTAATTCTGACTACTCAAGACACCTGACTTCTACATCTTCAAAGGAAGACTGTGTTCATTCTACCATTACATGGGATTAAAGCTAAATGTAGTTTTAATTGTATAATACTTCAATTTTATATAAAAGACAGTTTGTTTTCATCTGCTTTCAAATAAACAAAGTCTTGGCTTTCAGAATATATTAAACTTGTTTCTGCAAATTCAGATGATAAAAACAACTTTGAAGCTTCGGCATAATTACAAGCAGAGAACTGAGTAACTTAACGTCACAGCAGGCGTAACAACAGCTGGTGTTTCTTGTAAGTGTTTCCCCGGTACACAAACGCAAAAATACACAAACACACACACGCGAGCTTCCCCCAGACCAGTAATACAAACGAAAATGTGTCTTCGGGTCAATGTGACTGATTTCGATAGAGCAAGTCACATTTGGTTTAGGCACGAAACATACTACCAGTAGAAATACATTGCTTTCAAAATCGCTCTGTGTCAAATCAATAGATTATATTTCGTGACTATAACACGAAATGCCGTGAGTGCTTCATCCTCTGAACACCACACGATGGCGACTGTAACGCACATAACATAGGTACGCTCCTCTGAAATGATTGTCCCCTGCAATTATTATTATCCCTCAATCGAGTTCGCTATTCAGCTCGCTAACGTTAGCTTAAACAAACGTAACATGCAACGTTAGCCTAATCTAAAATGCTCTTCTACGGCGTTCCTTTCATGTGGCTCGTCAGCGCAGACTCTCGCATCGTTATTTTGCAAACTTTGCAGGAGGCTACTCGTGGGCTTGACCCTCGTCTTAGCCATGGCTTGTATTTGTCTTCTGCTAGCCAACGCTCGTTGAAACGGCAACCTCCTGGCACACAGTCATCTATCTCTCATCAGAATGCCCAGGTCACACATAACACAAACACTTGCAGGTCGCGCTCATAGCGCGGGAAGCCGCAGCGGAGCTGTTTTATGGAGAAGCGAAGCAATTATTTTCTTTTAATCTAAAAAGCGAACTATTCAGTCAGACAGCAATTTATTGTAAAAGTAAAGCATTTACATTTTCAAGCACTTTAACTCAATTTCAAGCACCATTCCCAAAATGCAAGCACTTTCCCAACCTTGAAAACACCACCTCAAATTTCAAGCATTTTCAAGGATTTCAAGCACCCGTACGAACCCTGCAAACAAATCTCCAGGTTCACTTTGAAATCTATAAAGAGAGACTTGGCCTTTATCATTTGGAATTGTAAATTGCACGACAGTCTTTCTTCTCTGACATCATTGCCAAAAACAAAAACAATGCACGTGCCTTGTTTGCTACCGTCGACAGACTAACAAACCCCACAGTGTCAGTATCCCCCCATTCAGAACATCAGACCAGCAGTCAGTGGCCTCTGCATCAGGTACAGCAGATGTGTTGTCCCTGTGTCCACCTAAAATCAATACAAACACCATGACACAGTTCCATCAGATTAATGATAATAACCTAGAGGACATTATTCAACTTCTGAAATCCTCCTCCTGCTGCCTTGATATTATTCCAACAGGGTTTTTCCAAGATGTTTTTCCTTGCATGGCCTCAGATCTACTTCACATATACCTCATTCACACCAACGGTGTTTCAGGGCCGGTTCGGAGCTGGAGCTTGAAAAGCACCGGGTTTTCCTGTTCACACCGCAGCGGAGCAGCCTCTTAGCTCCGGAATCCGGTTCGTTTCAAGCACCAACAAATGTCCGGCCAGAGCAAACTTTCCGGAAACTTACCACCCTAGCAGTAACTATAGTAACGCAGTGTAGGCGGAGCCGCGACGTCATCTTCAATGTGTGTCACTACCCGATCTGCAGCCCTGCCCTATCTGCAGTGCGCATGTGCGAGATGGTCCGCCATATGGCAACTCTAATAGGACATTTGACACAGTGGCGTTTGGCAAAGCAGAAAAAGAACACTCAAAAAAACCCGACAATATTAATCTGAACGAGAGAGATGAGTTATTGTTATTACAACGTGACTTCACTATTATTGAACAACTCCTTTTAGTGCGTCATTTTATTGGGTTAAGTACATTGTCAGAATAAGTGAGAAATGGATGTAACTTCTGTTAGACAGCTATCATACATACTGAAGAAATATTGACTGTGAATGTATGCAATATGTATGGCATTCATAATTTATATCTAATTACATTAACTGTGAATGTCCTTCATTTTATTTCAAATAACAAAATATTTTAATAAAGATATTTGAGACGTTTATGACTCGCGCATGCACGATGCAAATCGGGCAGCCGTCTAGATGTCAAATGTCCTATTAGAGTTGCCGTATGGAGTAGTCAAATATGGCGGACCTTCTCGCACATGCGCACTGCAGATAGGGCAGGGCTGCAGATCGGGTAGTGACAATGTGAACCACAAAACCAACATCAGCCGTTAGCTGTTAGCCCTCAGAGCTCACAGCTTCTCATATCTGTTTAGAACCTAGACAGAAGTTAAACAAGTACAAACCACAGACTGTCTGTGTCATGGCGAATACAGTCGCTGCTTTATTTATGTCTGTATAGGGCGTTCCGAGCTGAATAAGGGCGTCAAATGAAGGCAAGACGCCCGCCTGGCGGAAACGCTGGAATTAGGAATATATTGTGATGAAGTGCACACTGACCTGAGCTCCAGGGGTCTCTTTCTTCTCCTCCATGCTGCTCATCAGATGTCCTGATGAAGACCACAGAGCTGCTTCATTATTAATATAATACAAATATTTAGATATAATTCATCATAAACTGTCAGCAGTGAAGAGGAGGAATTCAAAGAGTTTATTCAATGATATGTTCTATTTCTAGATGCTTATATGTAGTGTTTTATCACACCATGTGCAGTGCCTTGTCTTATCTATGCTGCTGTGACGTAAACATGGTCCAAATTGATCCATTTAGTCAATGTGATGCTAAGCAGAGGAGAACATGATAGAAAGGTCAGATAGTTATTAACATTACATGCAAATTACTTTAACCATTACGATACAAAGTTGGTTTTCTGTGTAAATTATTATGAATATAATACAAATATTTAGATATAATTCATCATAATCTGTGTAGCAACTTACATTCTAACTTACAGCTCACAGTTTGTTCACTTTTATTTCATTAAAATGACTTTATTCACATAGAAAGTGACATTAATGGTTGTTTGAACCACTGTTATAGCGCTATCCGTGTGTAACTATCACTAAGTTAACACAGAAAGCAAACATTAGCTAGTGAGACTGTTTAATGTACTCCATGTATACAGTATTTTCTGTATATTGTGTATTCTTTAGATACTCTAGTGATATGTGTCCTGTGTGTATACTTGCTGCTAATGCTTCATTTGTATTATATCTTATTGCGTCTTTTAAATATGTTTAACTCGTGTAATGCCTGAAAACACTTCTGCTGTGACACATTCATTTCCCACTTTAAGATAAATCATTATTTAAATAAAGTATATATATTTATCTAATGAGCTAAACCGTCGCTTAGCTTAGCGTTAGCTGCTAACTGAAGAACCCCATTTATTTCAATAGGAAAAATGCTACGTCACAGTGAATGACGATGCTAATAAGCTAGTTAGCATATATTTAAAACCATATCTATGGTAAAGAGCACCAACACAACAACTCAAACCGTCTTAAAGACAACTGGTGTAATAAATAACTAACATAAAGTCAGCTGAGCATTACAAATCAACTGTTACTCCCCCAGAGCCGAACTGGAATAATAACTGTAGCTGTTAGCCGATAGCTTTCAGACTTTTAGACGATAGCTTTCAGACTTTAGCTGTTAGACGATAGCTTTCAGACTTTAGCTGTTAGCCGATAGCTTTTAGACTGTAGCTGTGTTAGCCTTTATTTAAAGATAGTTGGTGATTAACTGTAAGCTAAGAGGTGTAAACTTAATGAAACCTCTGCATGTGTTTAATCCTCTTTTTTTGTCTTGTTCTTCTTCTTCTTCTTCTTCTTCTTCTTCTTTCGTGTTTATTGGCGGTTGGCAAACCAACTTGTAGGCGCATTACCGCCACCAACTGGACTGGAGTTTCTCTTAGAAATTTAATAATCTCACAATATATATTGCCTGATGTTTTCCCTAACAGCCCTGATAGCGACAAGTCATGGAATGTTGCTTCCTTCAGTGTCTGGAAAAGCACATTTCTCTGAGTACTATATTTCCTGCAAAGCAGTAAAACATGCTCAACAGTTTCTGGCTGGCTGCAGTGTGTACACTTTCCAGTTGGATGCTTTCCTATTATACTTAATGTATGATTGAGACCTGTATTATACTTAAAGTATGATTGAGACCTGTATTATACTTAATGTATGATTGAGACCTGTATTATACTTAATGTATGATTGAGACCTGTATTATACTTAAATTATGATTGAGACCTGTATTATACTTAAAGTATGATTGAGACCTGTATTATACTTAATGTATGATTGAGACCTGTATTATACTTAAAGTATGATTGAGACCTGTATTATACTTAAAGTATGATTGAGACCTGTATTATACTTAAAGTATGATTGAGACCTGTATTATACTTAATGTATGATTGAGACCTGTATTATACTTAATGTATGATTGAGACCTGTATTATACTTAAAGTATGATTGAGACCTGTATTATACTTAAAGTATGATTGAGACCTGTATTATACTTAAAGTATGATTGAGACCTGTATTATACTTAATGTATGATTGAGACCTGTATTATACTTAATGTATGATTGAGACCTGTATTATACTTAATGTATGATTGAGACCTGTATTATACTTAAAGTATGATTGAGACCTGTATTATACTTAAAGTATGATTGAGACCTGTATTATACTTAATGTATGATTGAGACCTGTATTATACTTAATGTATGATTGAGACCTGTATTATACTTAAAGTATGATTGAGACCTATATTATACTTCATGTATTATTGAGACCTGTATTATACTTAAAGTATGATTGAGACCTGTATTATACTTAAAGTATGATTGAGACCTATATTATACTTAATGTATTATTGAGACCTGTATTATACTTAAAGTATGATTGAGACCTGTATTATACTTAATGTATGATTGAGACCTGTATTATACTTAATGTATTATTGAGACCTGTATTATACTTAATGTATGATTGAGACCTGTATTATACTTAAAGTATGATTGAGACCTATATTATACTTAATGTATTATTGAGACCTGTATTATACTTAAAGTATGATTGAGACCTGTATTATACTTAAAGTATGATTGAGACCTGTATTATACTTAAAGTATGATTGAGACCTGTATTATACTTAAAGTATGATTGAGACCTGTATTATACTTAATGTATGATTGAGACCTGTATTATACTTAAAGTATGATTGAGACCTGTAATATACTTAAAGTATGATTGAGACCTGTATTATACTTAATGTATGATTGAGACCTGTATGACCTATTCTCATCCGAGAAATGACATTTTCCTCCCTTCTTTTAAACCCCACCTTCCTTCCATCCCCCACATACCTTTGAATGTTATAAAGATGTCTTCCTGTATCACTAAGGTCCCAATGATCTTGCCATGTTGTTTGTGCATATTTCTGAATGAATGTTTGAACCTCTGCTTTGCTGAGTGGAACTTCTATGTCTATGTTCATACTTCTGAGTGTTTGTTTGGCCAGAATATCCACCTGTTCATTACCCTCCACACCAACATGAGCAGGAACCCAGATGAAACGAGTTGCTATATATATCCTTTATTTAACCAGGTAAAAGACTCATTGAGATTAAAATCTCTTTTCCAAGAGCGACCTGGCCAAGAAGGGCAGCATGTACAAAGTTACAACAGATAAAACACAGACATGACAGGCAGACAAATAGAGCTGTAAAACACAAATAAAATGGCACGTTAGCCAGTCAATATGCGAAGTAAAACAAACTATTAAAATCATTCAAAACTGGCAACATTTAAAACGATTTTAAGATATACGAGCACTCACATCTACCAATGGTGTCGTGTTCTCTGTCCTTTAAGATGGACCTGAATTCCCCCATAGTGATTACATCTGAGAGTTTCAGCTCCTTCTGAACATTGTTCCAAGCTGTGGGGGCAGCATGTCTAACAGCTGTTTTACCCAGTTTTGTTCTCACTGTAGGGACCAGCATCTGAATCACATCTTGGGAGCGCAGGCCATATGGACTTTCTCTTTGACACATATATGTGCAAATGTAGGAGGGAACCAACCCAAGCAGAGATTTATAAATAAAACCCAACCAATGGGAAAGTCTGCGAGCAGACAAAGATGGCCAATTAGCAGCAGCATATAAAGTGCAATGGTGTACTCGATATCCACATCCAGTGATAAATCGTAAGGCACAATGGTACACAGTATCCAAGCTCTTTAGGCATTGGTCAGAGGCATTCATGTATAGCAGGTCATAATCTAATACAGGTAAAAACGTTGCAGATATCAAATGTTTCCTTGTCTGAAAAGAGAAACAGGATTTATTCCTGTAAAATAAATCTAATTTTATTTTTAGCTTTGAAACAACATTTCCATGTGTAACTTGAAAGACAAGTTCTGTTCAATAAGAAATCCCAGATATTTGTAAGTAGTGACCCTCTCAATGTCAGTCCCTTGTGCAGTACAAATCTTGGGTAGGTAACATTTTGCCATTCGAAAATATCATCACTTTGGATTTTTCAGCATTTAATACCAACTTTAGTTGATATAAATGGGTTTGTATGACATCAAAGGCAGACTGGAGGAAATCTAGACTTTGCTCTATAGAAGCGGAGGAACAATAAATAACAGTGTCAGTGTCTCCTTTCACCCTAAATTTGCGGAAAGGAGCATGTTTGTTTATAATTCTAGTAAAAGCCTCATGAAAATAATCCCATGCCAGTTCAACATCACTAATGAGAGAGATCTTGTTCCAATCAAAATCCCACAGGTCATGAAAAAATGCTTGCTCGCAAAAATGTTTAAAGTCACGTTTAAAAACTATTTGTGGTCATTCATATCATTTACAAAAATACCAATATCCAAAAATGTATGAGGCGCATTTGTTAAAAATAAGTCGATAAGAGACGATTTATCTTGATGTTTAAGATTAGGACGAGTTGGGCTATTGATAAATTGCGTAAGATTAAAAGAGTCACAGGTTGATTTAAAACTATCGGAGACAGAGGACAACCAGTCCCAATTAAAGTCTCCAGCAATTAAAATCTCATTAAAATCCAAGCAAGATAACTGATGACTCAATGATGATAAAGCCTCAATGCTTGCTGAAGGGGGTCTATAGCACCCTACAACAGTGATAAACTGACCCTTAAGAAGTTCCAATTTCAGCGCAAGTAGTTCAAATTGTCTGCTAAGAGACACAGATGATTGGATGGTAGCATGACATTTTGTTTTTACATAAATTGCAACACCACCACCTTTTCTGGGACGGTCACAACGAAACACATTGTAACCCTTAATTGCAATGTCTTTGTCCGTGATAGATTTCTTTAGCCAAGTTTCAGATAAAACAAGAACTTCAGAATCAGAGGATTTTGCCCAGATTTTCATGTGGTCCATTTTAGGAAGTAGACTTCTGACATGTATGTGGATGATACCAAGACCCGACCTTAATTTAAAATCATCAGGGGTACTCAGACAATTAAAATCTGGTCCAGGGTTTGGATGAACATTTCCTGATAACAATGAAACAGGATAACAATGAAACATTTCCTTTTCACCCAAGTTGTTGTTTGCGTAGATTCATTATATAGGCCTATTACTCTCTTTCCACCATAGGAATATGAGTTAATTGAAAACAACCAGTTATAAGGACTAAAAAGACGAATAAGACAAGGTAGAGTCGTGAGATCCTTGGAGATTAGAATGCTCCAATTTACAGAGCTCTTAAACAAAGTAGAATCCCAGTTTGTGTCCTTACTAGGGAAGACAAGATGAGGCACATTTTGGTCTTCATACCCTTCACGTACCTCATATGGATGGAGAATAGTCAGTACGTATAGACGTTGTTTGACGTCTCATGTAAACAGGAACACAAGCCCAGTCATGCTATGCTTTAGCTCAACGAACCCGTTCTTATTATACATCCATGAACGAACCCAGTCCACCAAAGTCCAAAATCAAGCGCAACACAGGTGGCGTTTCAGCACCGGGAAGTGAGCACAGGCTCCGCAGTCCAAGCAGATAGAGTGGTCCCAGGAACGGGGCAGTAATGTTTAGCCGTAACGTTAAGGCATCAACAACGCTCGCCCTGGTTGTACTGTCCAAAACAGCTCACAGATATTGACCGGTGTTTTACAAAGATAACAGATATCACGTAGACAACAGTAGAACAGACATGAGAGCACAGCCGACAGGTACAGATGTGCTATGCCTTTGTTTTGCATTTTATATAACTGCAGTATATCCCTTCACAATAAAATCCAGGAAGTTTGCTGCAACAGCAGCAGCAACAGCGTGCAGAGCGAAGTTTTTGCGACTATTGACAATTTACTGTTGTGCATGCGTAACATACAATATAACATCTTAATCGCTGGATTCTATTAAAGTACTTCATGGGTCCAAAGAAAACGATAGTTACGTATGTAACTACGGTTGTTAGGATCAGTCTGTGTTGTTGTTTTGTCTTGTCTTTTTCTATCTTTGGGTTTCCTGTTTTATTTTGTAAATTGTTCACCCCCGTTTCCTGCCTGTTTGCTTTCTGTCTGTTTTCCCTCCCTGATTACCCGATTGTGTTCACCTGGTGCCTCTGTGTTTTCTCCTACCTCCTCACCTGTCTCGTGTTTGTTTGATTAGTCCTGGGTGTATTTAAGTTCTGGTTTTTCCGTCTGTCTTTGTCGGTTCGTCTTGTGTTTTGAGTAATTCTGCGGTGAGTGTTCTGTTCTGTGTCTAGATATTGTAGCCTTGAAATAAGGGAATTATTTTTGTCACTTAAGTCTGCATTTGGGTCCTGTTTCCTACACAAACCGTAACATTACGAACCGACCAAAGATGGACCCAGCGGATTCAGCTTTTTTGAGGCTACAGGCGGACCGTCTTGGGTGCTCTCTGGAGTACATTTTTTATACGTGGGATGACGCCTCATCTATACGGGGTAGAGTGGCTGCTTTGAAGGAGGCACGCCAGGAGGTTGCTCGCAAGCCCTGGCTCAGGAGTTTGTTGCCTGAGTGGCTACAACTTTTTACCAGTAGTCCTGGAAACTTTTCTCAAGCCT